CTGAGCCCATCAAATTTAACGCAAAATGGAAATATTTAAGGATGGTTAGTCAGAGCTATTTACAAACCGATGACCACGCCAATGCCTCCATAGTTGAGGGATCTTGGAAAATGTCTGTGGTAGAAAGGTGGTTGGAGTATTCCTGCAGGAAACATGATTTGGTTTTTATTGCGACTGTAGTAGGCATTCACCACAGCAGGTGCTGTGTTCCAAAGGGTCTTGTTCACTGGCTGCCCAATACTGAAACGTCAGAAATATATAGACATATACCAATGGAAGGTTTGAGAATTTGGTTGAGTTTACTAATACTAACCGAGATTGCTCCATTTTAGTCAAATGCTGGAGTATATTCAAAATGTTCTCAAAGTATTTATCCGGATGGATCTTCACCTCTTTATACCTGTCATCTAGCTCTTGTTTATTCAGGATAAAGTCAGGATACCCTATCCGCAGCATCATGGCATCTACTTTCAAAGCGGCTAGGTTCTTCGTTTTGTCGTCTATCCAGTCGGTCAAGTGCAGCAGTTCCCTGAAAGACTGCTGTATCTCCCTCGTCATAGTCAGTGTGTCATTTTTGCTCATCTCGTCGAAATATTTTCTCACAAACATGGAACCAAGGGCCATGCCCATGTTGGAGTTCACTTGGGATATGCAGTTCTTCCATCTAGGTGGCGCCTGTTCTCGGCCGAATAGTATGAAGTAGAATCTAAAAGTTGTTAATTTTTTAATATTTTTAAGACTGTGTTAAGATTAATCTTATCTTATTTATGATAAGTGAGCTTTACTTACTGTTGTTTAGCTGATTGGAAGCGGTCGTCCAGGTTGTTCACTCGGTGTCTTACGAACCGCCATAACAAGTAATTTGACAAAATGCTTGGATCGGTGTGCTCTATTAGTTGAACTAAATGCTGCAATTTAGAGATAGTGATTATAAATAATTACAACACTGGTCTAATAATTTTACCCACTTCCACATAGGATCATCTGGATAATTTTTGATCCCATTCAAAAGTAAAGCCTAGACCACACAATTCATGCCATAACTTACCCTGACGTAGCTAAGAGCAAATAAGACCACTGTTTCATTAGAATGCACCGTACGGTTCATCACGATGCAGAGGTACCTGCGCCATCTTACTTCTGGCACCAACTCCTCAAGCTTATGAAGAGGCATTCGCTTGTACAGTTCTGATACGTTACGTCTGTCTTCTGGAGCTGATGTTATTTTGGCTAGCCTGAAATAACGTAGAAGTAGCATATTGTACGTGGAATAGGAGTCTAGTGTTCACTAACTGCGTCTGGGACTCATACTTATGTTAGTACATCTAACAATACAACAGTGTGATAACTAGCTGAAAAGACTTGATCTACGTTTTTGAAGACATACCCTTGAAAGTTTGTAGTAGAGGAAACAACAACTTAATGTAGTTCTTACCTGATTTCGAAGTCGATAAGTTGATCAGCACTGGTTTGAACGTAATCTGGATCTCCGCCCAATAGCCTTGCTATTTTGATGAGATAACTTTTGTAAGCATTCAAATAAACTTTATTGGCATCTTGAAGAAAATAATCTCTCGTTGGTAAACCTGTAGGCACATTTAAATTATTCGGAAAAATGTAAATAAATATCAGGTGCTTTATTGATGATTTTAGACAACATTACCTAAACTTGTCTGGTCAAATTGAATAACAAACTCATCAGAATTCTTGATATCCGGACCGACCCATTCCGAGATCAAAATATCGTTGTTGTACAAACGCAGTTTTGCCATCAACTCAAGCCAATCAAAGTTGCTCGAATTCCAGTTGCGGTTCAAAATAGGCCATCCACCTAATAGATCCAGTAAGTCCAAGAGTGGTTGATGGCCACGTTTTTGTAGAATTTCATAGTTCATGCAAGATTTAAATAAAAATCTAGCTTTTAATGTAGCATCTCCATTCGCGGGATCAGGAGGTTCTTTAGTATCAACTTTCTTGAAAATAACTTCAGTTGTAATCATGATTTCTCTTTTTGGTTTAAATTGTTTATTTTTATCGTTTCTTGTTAAAGCTAACAGTTTTCTACTATTATGATAACGATTCATTGTTGATCTTTTTTTAATGCTTTTAGAATACACAAACATGTTTTTAGTCTTTTCATCTTCGTGATTCTTTTTAGTTTTATGCTGATTCTTATTTCTATGTAAGTACTTGTGTAATTTGTACTTCATTTCAGACACAGGTTTCATGAATAGTTTTGAGTTCTTATCTAAAAATCTACGAATACGGTTGACAATTTCTGATTTATCCGCTTTCGTATTCATTTGGTATCGGTTCTCTTCTATAGCTGTTTTGTTTAGTATTTCTCTTGAACCATCTTCAATTACATCGACATACAGATTATCAAGTTCAGGTGAAGGTTTTTTGGGATAAATGTGTTTCAGGAAATTGTCTTCCATATCCAGTCGTGGTCCTGGATACACACTTTTTACTTTTTCATTCTTTTTGAATTCCAAAAGATCCTTCAGAACGGTATCTAAGTTTTCTCTTAACATTTCGAAAGTGTCGTAGCTGTAAATAATAAACAATGGTTTAATTTTCCATTTTCCCTAAAGATTTAGGCCTTAGGGAAAATACTGAGATTGTTAGTAAGAAGAACTTGCCCAGCTTTGTCAGCAGGTATGGGATTGAGAGCCGGCCAGTTTCCACAAGCGTATTGATAGAAATCATGACAAGGGTCAGCTTCAGCATCCATATATTGCTTCATTATGTTAGCTTGTGTGTTCCTGATAGTTTCCTTATCGCCTTGCCCTTTCCAAAATGCATGAATGCCTAGAACAATAACCGTGAAGATATTTTTCAACATATTCGCAGGAAATAATTTAGCTAAAAGCCTCCCTGATAGATTTATCTATTAGGAATGAGGTAATTTGTTATGATTTAGCGTGTTTCCGGAGAAGTCAATTGTTAATTATAATTGAATGGATTTTCACTGAACGATAGGTACCGTGAGAATTTCGCCGGGGGTTCGACCTGTAACCTTGACTCCTTTGGGCCGACATTCAATTGAATAATGTGTCCTACAACGCACATGGCTGACGAGTTCACTAAAGCGCCGAAGTATGTGTATTGTGCACTTCATTTGTGCAATTGAGGATCTTTTGACCTATTTTAGGCAATGCTTATGACGTCAAGAGGTGTATTAGGTAAATAGATTTAATCTTATAAAATGTTATGTTTCCAAGTCGGACATAGGTTTTGGAATTTTGATTTAGCAATTTTGCCAGCCTACATAAATGGGTTATACTTATAATTACTTATGAAATAGATATTTTTCCAGACAGTGCTCTAAGGCGGTTATCACACTGCGCCGCGCTCCGCCGCGGAGCGCGTGATTTTCATATAAAAAATCACGCGCGCGGACGCGTTGTCAGTGTTTTCTATACAAACTGAGGTACTTGCATACAATGATTAAATCTGTCGCCCCGCGCTCCGCGGTGGAGCGCGGCGCAGTGTGATAACCGCCTAAAAGTTAGTAGTTTGGGCTTGGAAACTGATTATTACGACGGCATATCAAGTTACTCTTAACCTATAAAGCGAAAGACACGATTTTGCACAAATCAAGGGCAAATCCACTTCCCATATTTTTTTCTGGACAAAGATTTACCTGTGTAAGACCTGGTAGGCTTATAAATGTGCGCTGAGGATACCATTTCTTCTTCTTCTAGTTCTGGTTGTCCTCGGATTTGTTCCACTACATCGTCAAAAGGACCTCGGTCCACGCGCGTTTCGGGGTGGACCACGCTGTAAAACAGTTTGTATCACTTACGATTGACAATGATAAGTTATAACAATATTTTTTTTAACAGGCCAAAAATATCCTGGCTTGTTAGGAACCTACCTCTCAATATTTTCATCGTCGTCATTGTCACTATAAACAATACTATCTGATAAATTATATTCCTCATCCTCGCTTTCACTTTCAATATCTTCGTTGTCATCCTCTTTACCCTCCGCTTTGTGTTTGTGAGTAGGGATTTCGTGACTTAAAATAACAGAAGGATTATGTCCACAAGTTATAAGAAAGTGGAGTGTAATGAATGTTCACAATTTAGCAATAGTTTACTCTACTTACTCGTAATCCTGTGAAGTAAACGTAAAGTGACTCCTCCGCTTCACCCTCGTCGGTGTTCCATGCTGTTTATCTGAACTGCCCCATATCAATATGTCACTGGTCACATTACCTTCGTAGATCTCTTTTTTAGCCTTGGAATGTGTTCTGGCGAGCACGATTTCCTCATGAGGCAAAAACGAGGTGCGGAACCCTTGAAACACCTCCCGCTCCTCAGGATCTACGCCTTCCAACTTGGTGTAAACCCGCGGGATCTTTTTCACCACGTACTGGTCTGATGGGTCACCCAGAGAGTCCGCTGGTCTCTTCACTACAAAGTAGGTTGCTGCGGTCAACCCTGCGATGATTATAACTGAGAGGAACCGGTACAAATTGGCGTGATTTTGTTTAATTATGGTCTGAGGTGGACATCGCGTTTCGACTCGCGTCATGGCAGCTTCCGACTGACACTGACAGCGAGGAGATTGTAACGCAAAGCCTGGTCCGTCATCAGTTAAGTGGAACCTCAATGTATAGAAACTACGTACAATAAGGATGACCCTGTGCCGGGATCGCGGCAAATTGCGTGTTTGAGAACAATCTGCAGCGACTCGTGTTGCGTCGTAGTTACAGATGGATGTGCTTGTATAAATCAATTTGTAATAATGAAGCTACGGTAATTAGTTATGTAATTATTGTCACTTATTTGCCTGCGTCTTACACCATTCATTCAAAGCGGAATTAAATTATCGGTGCCATTAATTACATTAAGGTAACTTGGTATTTTACTTCATGAATTCAAAATGCAAGGTGTATTTCTATTTTTTCAGAAAGAGGTTTTAATGACACTAAACGACAGTTCCAATCTGAAAAAAGCATTTGTCAAATTGAAGAAAACTGACAAAAAATACAATCAATAAACTAGGCATCAAACTTTGTACTTGTTGATAATTTTATTATGCCACTTTTAACAATGATAACGTTTTCTGAGCTGACAAAGCAAGTTCATTTAATCAATGATTTGATTTTATCCGATATGATTTGCGGTAAGTTATTCCACGTAGCATAGTTTGATAAGATTGGGATCATACACATTTCAGTACTACCTATCTCTCATGTCTATTCCTCACACCTAATTCCACGTCTCCTGGTCCTCACTCGCCTTTAAAAGTTTTAATAGAACTACGTAATACACTATAACATTAATAAGTTTTAGTATGTTTTAAGAGGCTCTGAATTCTTCACATGAATAGATTTTCTATCCCTGGTTCATCGAAAGAAAAAGTCATTTTCCCTCGCCAGAAAACCAAAACCACACCGCCGAAGAGACGGTGGGATTCAGCCGCCATTTGCTCTCCACCAAGCACTGGTTTGCTAGGATCTCTTGGTCCAACAAGAAGCGGTATCTCCTGGCGTTGCTGGATGACGTCCGGAGCGCTTGGACCCTGTCGCTTCTGCTGAAGTCCATGTGGAACTGTCGGCCTAAGGACGCTGTTCTGTCGGCAAGCGAGTTAGTATTTTACGTCAAAATATATTTTATTTGAATGATCAAAAAGTAGTTAAGAAGCATCTTAATATTCTTCTTCTGCCTCGCTCAGACTTCGACTTTCGATTGGGAAAACTAACATCGCGAAACGGGATACGTTACGCGGGGTCTTTTTATCCCTTTTCGCGGACGTCTAAGGCTACGGCCGGATACTCGCAACACCCCCACTCGGGTGATGACGGAACGCCGCGGAGGTTTTAGTGGGTACCTACCTATACCCTGTCCTTTTCAGGACAGAGCAGCGCTCTTTTCAGGGCGGGGAGTCTCACACACCACTCTAAAAAAAAGGGTCGTTTTACCCAATCATGAGCCGCCATTTAGTTTTATCTCAAACGTCTTTTTCGTGGAGTCCTTTTGCACATTCGTCATCCAGGTGATTTGAGATCTTCCTTCCCCTCTTTAAGACAAAGCATCTTAATATTCTAATCCATCAGGCCGGAAGTGTGGAGCAGCTACGACCAAGTGCCGACAGACCACAACAGAACCGCGCAGCCTGTACCGACTCTTGCGCAGGTCATGAAGAACGACCGCATTTGGTTTCTGTCTTTAGAACCAGTGGGTAACACAATAATTTAATGCTAATGTTTGCCTACTTATTTGGGAGTGTCGAACCAAAGACCTAACGGCAATATTAAATACTAGCTTTTGCCCGCGGCTTCACCCGCATGAACTTAAGTTTGTCACAAATCGTCATAAATTATAGCCTATATGTTATTCTGCGTTATAAAGAATAATACTGTAAAGTTTCATCAAAATCCGTTCAGTAGTTTTTGCATGAAAGAGTAAAAAACATCCATCTAGACATCGAAACTTATGCATTTTATTAGTAGGATACCAATGGCCACAAAATCACAAACTGTTCATACAATTTACTCACCTAGGAACTTATCGCTGCAGATTCTATCAGGCGTTCGTTCAATCAGTAGCAATGCATTGAAGATTTTAATTATTATTCTAACTAGCTTAATACGTATAGCATACGTTTACCTTAGGTACAATAGTGTAGTTATTTTCCAGGTAGTATCTACTCCCGACTGTTAACGTTCTGATTCACACTCAGGACTTGCAAGCGCTACTTCTATCGGAGCTTCTAACAGTGGCTGGTGGGCCGGTGATGTGGGAGGTGACGCGGAGGGCGCAGGCCGCGTATCAGCGGTACAGAGATGAGCAGCTGCATAACCTGCAGGATAGCGTAGTGTTGGAGCCCCCGCCTGTCGGAGCGCCGCCACAGCAGTCACCTGAGAAGGTCAGCAGGACATATCAGGATATGACGCCATCTATTTGATTCTGATCTATGGTGAAGGTGAAGGTGAAAGTCGTGAGCAGGCCGCGTACTAGCGGTACGGAGATGAGCAGCTGCACAACCTGCAGGATAGCGTAGTGTTGGAGCCCCCGCCTGTCGGAGCGCCGCCACAGCAGTCGCCTGACAAGGTCCTAATATGATTAAGTTCTCTATTCCACTGATCTATAGAGAGGTGTACGACAATTAATTATAAAGACAAACAGCATCTATGGTGGAGATGTACCTACCTACCAGCGCTATAGGGACTCTGATCCATCAATAGATCGCGATAAGTCAAAGTTGCTTACGTGTCCTTGCGTAGCCTGAGAAATCTCCAGCTGATAAGGACAAAATGACCTCGAGTAAAAAGTGCGATGTGCAAATGTTTATGGAGAAACTCAACCTTTTTACGAAACTTTCTTTATTCTAACTTAATTTAATTTCCAGAACAAAAAAGAGTCGCCTCAGCCCCAGCGTCGCAAGAGTTCAGGCAGTTCACATTCTCCTGATTGGGTGAAGCCTCCTCCACCACCGGGGCAGGCACAAAAAGAGGTTTCTTGTGTTATCTACCTTTAGTTTGCTATATTCTGTGGTATACCTACATAATATTAAGCTTATAATCTACATTCAGCTAAATACTGAGGCTTGAAATGACTTGAGCTTTACAAAAGTTTGCAATTTATAGTTGGAAGCCAACTTGGCCGTCTGGAATGCTACCATCAAATCTTTGCGAGATAGCGTCAAGTTAGAGGAGATAGAAATGACGTTCAATGATGGATCCAAGAAGAAAGTGTGGAAGGTCAATCGCCCGAAGCCTGAAGTGGTTGAAACTGTTGATTTTGTGAGTATTTTATCAGGTCCTACTTCCAGAGAGAAGGATTACAGTTTCTTATAGCTGTTCTGTATTAATTGCTTAGGTACCTACTTATTTATTTCCAGTTTAGATAGCTTTAGCTCCATCCTTCAACTCTGACCAACTAAACAAGCTGGTTGTACAAAATGGAACTCGATGTAGGGTTAATTACGGTCTATTTTTCCGCTATAGGTCCAGCTCCTACCCTCAGCAGTGGGCAAGCGTATCATATCGTACCTCCCGCGTGCACAGCTGGGTGACTATGCCCGTGTGAACAAGTACTGGGCATACTTGGTGGACGACTTCCGAGCAGAACTTACGGCGAGGCAGAAAATTGACACTGATTTGGATAAATTACAGGTTTTACAGTGACTAAACGTATATCTAGACGTATTTAGTACTTACCTCCTTAAATAATCTAGGTAAGTAGTCGTTCAAGAAAACACTTGCCTTAAGATGCCTGACTTACTTAAACGTGGAGTTTCATTGGTCTCTGGAGGACACCATCGTTTAGTAGGTTATAGGCCCCCTTTTGGCGGGGGGAATCCCACATAGCACACTGGCCGTTCTCATCGGCATACCCACTGTATGCGCAAAAGCACTTCCCGGAACGAACATTCCTCGCGTACCCTATAGGTGTAAAAAGTTGCTGTTTAGATCAGGGTAACATAATAAGTATGTCTATCTTCCCAGGAGCTGATGCTTCGTCACGACACAAGTATGGACGTCATAGCTCAAATAGACTTCCAGAACATAGCGCCCAGTTCCCAGGGCATCATGAGCGCCGCGCCTTCAGGCCGCAAGGCGTTTCAGCCGAGCGTGAGAGCGAGCGAGAGGTCCGCTGGAGCGGTCTCTTTCAGGCACATGCTGGACGGCAAACTAACTAAACCAGTTGTGGTAATTAACTTATCATCAGGTCATTTAGTCTCCAATGCAGGAACACGACTCTTTTCAAGTTAAAACAGCCAAATAAGTAGATAATTGTGGTCAAAAATCCCCACGCTGCAACTCTAGCCAGACAAGTTGGGGAGGCGTTCAAGTTTTTTAACGGCGGCAGAACATGATTAACTATAGAATAGGTTGATAAATTCTTATTTTTAAACAGGCGCAGAAACCGTTACGCAAGCTGGCTGAACTCACCGACCGCCTGGAAAATCGCGGTGCTGCTGACGAGAACCTTTGGCTTTGGTGCGAGAACATCAACAAACATGTCAAAAGACCAGAGAAGGTAGCAGCTTTATAGTTTCCTTACATAATACTAAATAGTACCTATTTACCAGCTTGAAAAGCAATTTTTCATATACTTATATTTTGCAGCAAAAGAACAGCGACTACCAAGAAGGAGTATTGCCGTTAGGAAACCTACACTTCCCGTGCCCCCTGATGAAGATTAAAATGGATGTGCCCTTGAAAACACCGCTTTGTAGAGATCCAGCTATTGGGTAAGCAGTATTTTTTAACCAGACGGGACGGATCACAGATATGGAAGGATCCTTCCTAAAAATATTTCCATTATCATCACCACTAAAATCGGTCATTATTTGCCATAATGTTGATTATTTGCCATAATGGTAATTTTAAAAATTATTATTTTTAGAAAGTCCTCGAAGCCGAAGCGAGAGATATCCAATGCAACCATGATGAATGTGCCGAGACAACCAGGTATCAAGCGATACAGTCTCTGGACGAAAGACTTTTCCAAACTTTATCCTGTTTTCAAAATTCCTTCACATCAGTCACCAGTTTAAAGTGAATTTTGTTTATACATACTATGAACATCGATGATTTTAATGAATGGTATTTGCGGCCTCAGAAATCAATTTTGTATTTATTTATTTTTTAATAAAATTTTCTAATAAAAAATATTTTTAATTTCTGTTATAGGCTATTTCGGACCACTATTATGTGATACAAAATTGACAACTAATCTGTCATTCTTAGAGATGTACTTCAGTCGATTAGGCGATAATCGATGTCGACAAATGTGGTTATCGATTAAAAGGCATCATTAAATTTTATTAATCTTCGAAATGGAATTTGACACACTCATTTTGTTCCTTATTGTTAAAAGTACAGCTGTCAATGTTTGTTGTTCATAGTCCGTAACGATCGATCTTTCTGTATATTTTATTTGTTTGCAGAAACAAATAAAATATACATTGCCAATTTGGACAAAGCTCCAGTTTAGTTTTTTGATCAAGTTTTAATAACTTTTGTAAGTATTCGACCAGCCCACCCAGTGAAAAAAAAATCTCACTCAGTCGATAGTTAAGTTGGTATCGATATTTGATTTTGATTCGATTGTCGATAAGTTTGATTTTAAAGTGTGTCATCTCTTCTTTTAAAAACGAAAAATGCCAAAGTTGACAAAACTGTTTTTCTAGAAAGGAAAATATTTTATTTTTCATCGCGTACGTGTGTAAACTGAGGTTTTCGCCGTGTATTTTATCATATAATGATATCTGTGAGACTTTCGTGTAAGAATATTTAAGGGAAATACTTTAAAAATGAGTAAGCACATGTATTCGACCGCAAACTTGAGTGACAAAGAGTTGAAAGAACAAGGAAACCGTCTATTCAGTCTCAGACGGTTCGAAGATGCTATGAACTGCTATACGAAGGCTATCGTAAGTATTTTTTACTTCCCTTGGATGTATGGAGACCTTGATGTGCCACCGAGATTAGATTTCATTGTCTTATTTTCCTCTGCTGAATTTCACGGTCTGTTTCGTAAACAGCTCATATCTGTAAAGCACCCGAGTAAAATGCGTGCTTGAACTTACTCCTAAACACTATTCACCAAGGTGAATTTAAAATTTTATCATGATACAGGATCTGACCAATAATCTGGAGGAGTATCCATGGTAACCACTTCCATCTTGATGTCTCACTCAGTCTACTTTGAAATCTCAGCATAGTGAAAAATTATTTGCATTTACTTTAAAATTTTAGTCTGAAAATTCATCATGTGAAATAAAATCACATTTACTTACTTATTTTCAAGGATATTTTTTTCATTGAATCATGGTGCGCTCTCTACTTTTTGCAATTTACAATCCATGCATTTACTTGGGTGCAGCATTACTAACTCTACTGCTGCAAGCTATTTATTTAGAGGAATGACTTGGACAATACAAGACAATAATATTTTAAGTTATAATATTTATCAACATAACATTGCAAAAATCCTTAAAAGTGAATTGGAATTTTTCTTATTAGACCTCGGGTGTATCAAAAAATAAGAAACCAATTTTACTGTGGGTAGTGTTAAATATTAATTTTATAAATAAATACATTATATTTATTCATTACTATTGTTGCAGATAAAAAATCCATCAGTCGCAACATACTTCACAAACCGAGCACTATGCTACTTGAAGATGAAGCAATGGGAGTCTACGTGCCAGGACTGCCGGCGAGCGCTGGACATAGACAACAACCAGGTCAAAGGGCACTTCTTCCTCGGACAGGCCCTGATGGAGCTGGAGTGTTACGATGAAGCCATCAAACACTTGCACCGAGGTGAAATTAATATGCACAGCAAAATTTTACTCTAATTTGAATCTAATCAGATATTTTAAGAAACATTGTTGATATAAGATATTCAAAAATATTCCTACTCAACCCCTTATAAACGATTTTTCAGAACCAATCAGGTTTCATTATTAAAATTCAACCAATCAATTTACTTATAATCTAAATTATTTATCTATTTTGAGCATTCTTTCATACAGAGCTTTGAAACGATATTATTTTTAAGGTATTGAAAATATCGTTATCATAAATATTATGCCTTCTTTATTATAAAGAAATCAGCCTATTTGTAAACTGTACCCACCTATTCATAATATGAGAAAGTATGTGCTCCTATGTCATGCTCATACTTAATATTATAATCTCTCAATTGCATTGTAAGGTTTCTTGTTTGTTATTCAAATAACTTGGTGACATTGTGATACCTTATACAATTATTCAGCGAAAATTCTGGTGGCATATAGTAGGACTTAGACTTGCTAATACTTTTTCAACAGTACTCATAAATATATATTTTTCCAGAAAATTTAAATCTTCTGCAATATAAATTCTAAAGAAATGCAGGCATATAAAAGAGGGACTTGATTTAGATTTTGTTAAATGTTACCTTCATGTTTTTATTTATTTATGTAGCTGTTTAAAAAAGAAACATAGAAAGTACTAATGAGCTTATCTCTATGTATAAAGTGACGAATGCTGATAGGATTCTTAAGAAATTAGAGAGTAAACAGCAAAGTTACAAAACAGCAAACAGCTAAGCTAGCTATTTACATACTAGCTAGTGTCTGCTAAGTTCAAATTACAACAAAAGAAACACATTTTAGCACTTGACGAGAAATAAGTAATCCTATATACTTTTTTATTGTCACAGCAAACGACCTGGCCCGTGAACAGAAGCTCAACTTTGGCGATGACATCGCCGCCCAGTTGCGTATAGCTCGCAAGAAGCGGTGGAATGTTCAAGAAGAGAAACGAATTTCACAAGAAATCGAGCTGCAGAGTTATCTCAATAGGTTCGTCCACCTTGCAATGTTTGTACACTACTCAGTTATCAGTAAGACGTATTGCAATTTTGCCTTAGAGTGCAGTATACGAGTGTAGTTAAGATGCTGTGTTGCAAAGTTTTTACCCGAAGATTCAGCCATGCTGACTACAATTTTGTTACTACAATCTCTACTTATAGGGTTCAGAAGGCAATTAGTATCATTTCTAAAAAGAGTGCCTTTCGAAACCTCAATATTAAAGTCATATACTTTCGTTTTGAAATACTTTATAAATAAGGTTTTTTCTTTTTCAAGGATCAAGGTACAATAATTTTTTAAAGTTTAAAGTTTCAATCTTATGATTGTAAATATGCATTCACCGCAGTAAAGTGTTTATTATAAGAAGTGTTTAAAGATCATTTCATCCACGAAGACGCGACCCACCAATTTTTGGTCAAGGGAAGCGCGGGGTGCGGGGAGTTTGATCCGAGCAATCCGTTGCATTATTGTAGTGTGCGTGTGCATTCATGGATAATTTAGCGTGTACCGATAACACTCAAACATTAACGGAAGAATGGTGGGGCGCGTCTTCGTGGATGAAACGATCTATACTGACAAAGTTCTATTCTATATCATTGAATTTTATTTCAACAGGCTAATAACGGAAGACATGCAGCGTAGAATAGAAGCTATCAAATTAGACACTAACAACGATGAAGACTCTTGCACTAAAGTGGCTAAAGTGGAGGAGGAATGTGTAAGTAAAATTTTTCTATCTGTATCTGTCACTGTCGGGAGAGACAGGGATGGTTAGATCTGAACTATTGGGCAATGTAGTAGGGATGTTCCTTGTTGTTTTAGTAACATTTAGTAGCTAGTAACATTTAGTAGCTATAAATATTAATTAAGATCTGTTTTTTTTTTCAGAATAATTATTCTAGTGAATTAAATAACCTATTTTCAAAAATGGATGAAAGAAGACGGGTAAGTGGTTTTTTTATTGATGGGTTGTTTTTTGCATAAAAAGATCTTTTACTAACAAAAACTATAGAAACAAATGTCAACATTTTTTCGCCACAACAACCAATGTGCTCTGCAATTTTTTTTCCTGAGAATAATAATTGCACGTAATTATTATCTTGTTTCGCAGAAACGTGACGTACCAGACTATCTCTGCGGCAAGATCAGCTTCGAAATCCTGAATGAGCCGGTCATAACGCCTAGCGGCATAACGTACGAAAAGAAAGATATCGAGGAACATCTAGAGGTAAGATCCTTGTAAATATGTATTCGGAACAGGCCTGCGGTGCAAATACGCTATTAACAGTGCCTACCGGGAAAACTAGACAGGTTAACCGTGAACGTAATGTGTTAAATTAAATACAAGATTATGTTACATTTCATTTTCCTTTATATCGCTTCACGGAGCGAAATAAAGAAACAAAGAAAGAAAGAAAGAAACATTTATTGCCATGGACATCACAAAAGACAAAAGAGGTAAAATAAAAAAAAAAAAAAGCAAATGAGACAGAGGTGACATAAAACATACAATGAATGAGCAAGTAAACTAAGCGGATTACTAATGTTTGGCCAAAAAACGTTTCCCAAACTATCACATCGCAAACAACGTTTCGCAAATAACTACATACAAGAACGCTGGAATGAAGTACAAACTTCGGCATGGGGCCCACTGAAAACCAGGGTCGTGGCCTTCCCCACCGTGGGCCACGGCATATTATTATGCTGAGTGGAGTCCCATTGCGATGGGCATCGCTGTTGCGACAGGATAGCACTGCTCAGTTCACTTTTTATTTCCTCGTAATATTCATGTGCCATTTCTGTCTTTTTTCCTGTATACGTTCTCTGTCCTTAACTAAGTGATGTTCATCGTAATAAATGTTTATTTCTTTCTTTCTTTCTTTCTTTCTAATGCTTTGTCCAAGTTAATTTTCAATTGAGAACCTATTACCAAAAGGCCAAAAAGAACCCACAATGAGGGCTATCGTTTTAGCGCTCACCAGTTAGCGCCACTGTAGAGTAAGGTCCTGTCACTTGCTAGTAGCGAAGACAATGGCACCAACTGGTGAGCGCGAAAGTGGTAGGAGGACTATCGCATTTGCACTCATCAAGATGGCGCCGCTGTAGAGTAAGGTCCTGTCAATCGCCAGGGGTGCCAACTGTTAAGTATAAAAACGATAGCCCTCATTGATTTTCAACGTGGGCATAGTCAGGCAGTTCAATATCAATAGGGTCATTTTTCTTGTACTATTGCCAACTGTTTGTACTTTCCTATTCTAAAATCAAATCTCCCTTTCAGAGAGTCGGCCATTTCGACCCCGTGACCAGAGTGAAGTTGACTGCAGACCAGCTCATACCAAACTTCACTATGAAGGAAGTGGTAGACGCTTTCCTACAGGAGAACGAATGGGCTCTGGACTACTAGAGAGTCAAATGACGTCACTTGCCGATAGGTCGAATAAGGAAGGTAGAGGTAAGATTCATTTCTGTGTATGTAAAAGGCGTAATCAGGCTGGCGCTAGTGTAGCAGGAAGGTAAACGGTTAAACTTTAAAGGAAGTAGTAGGATAGGTAAGTAAGCAAAGGAATAAAACTGTATACTGCAGTTTAAATCACTCAAGCTAGTCACATATAAATTTTTAATACAGCGCACTTCGCTTCATCTAAATATAAGGGTTCCGTTTTTTGCCATTTGGCTACGGAACCCTTAAATGTCATACTCTTTTGCTGCTCTAGCGTCAATCTAGTTTTTTAAACTATTACTTACAGCTAGCTTTTTAGACAGATTCATATGATTACTTGTACCTCTACCCTCCTTAGCCTTGATAGAATTTTATATGTTCACTTGATGTACACTTGACAGCCAATGGCTACCTTATGTGTTTAGGAATAAGGTACAACCTGTCAAGTATGTATTTACTCGATGTGGCTGTACAGATACTGTTAAAGTCGAACGGGCTTTCTAGTACTGACACTTGGACTGTCGTTCAAGCGCCCATAAATAATAAAAACTTAAACGTTATCTTTTCTCTTCGGGTACAAAATAAAAGAAAGCTCGTTCGTACTTTAGTATAGTACTATAGTAAGCATGAATAAAGTGACTACTAAGTCGCCCAGATTTGCCCTAAGTTAGTGAGATTTGGACCCAATTTCTGTGGTGTTCGATACTAAAGTTCGTCACCTGGATTTTTGTCTAGATCTGCGATGTAAACTCACGCGGTTTACATCGAAATGCTGTAGTCGGACGACTTATGTATTTGGGAAAACCCAACAATCAATTAAATTTTGTTATTGTAATGAAGCAAAACCTTCGATTGTAGTTTGAAAAGTTTTGCTTTATTTAAATAACAAATAGGTTTTTCTTTAGCAAGTGATAAAGTATAATTTAAAACTGTTAAATATTTTATTGCCATTAGAGTTCAAAATGTATCATTTCACATTTTCCGATGTTTTAGATTCAGATATTGGTCACATACACAGTCCATTGCATATAAAACGTCTTTCTCTATAAATCCAAAGATTTCTCTTTTAGATGGCACTACACTTAGGCCCAGTTTTTTGATTCTTAGTTAAAATAACTAATTGTTAAATTTTGCTACTAATGGTTAAATATTAACAACATGTAAACTAATAGTTAAAAAATGTACTAAACGTCACGCTAACCATTGTTCGAAAAACATTTTTTTCTGATATTTAATCACTTGTCATTTGACATCTGTCAAATTTGACCATTGGTTATTTTAACTACGAATCAAAAAACCGGGCCTTACTCGTTAGGTTACACTTTCATTTTAAAAGGTCCACAAATATTAATAGTCAACATATTTTAGATAGAAATATCAAATAATCATTAGACAATTAACAAATTATTCGTACTGATGTTAACGATGGCAATACTATAGTGTTATTTCTGATATATGGCAATAGTAATATTGTTCCTATACATTTAATACTACTTCCTCATAAAAAACTGCTCGATGTAAACCAAAAATTCATTCGTACAGTCAGCGTCAAATAGTTCGTGACACCCAAAGTAGCCAAAAAGTTCGCAACACGTCTTTGTTACAATTGAACTAAGATTGTGTTCTCAAGTATTTGGCCACTTTTGGTGTCACCAATTATTTGACGCTGACTGTACTATAGGTATTTTAGAAAATGGCGAGCTTATTCTGCTCATTTGTTGACTAAGTAATTATGAGTCAAGTTATAGTATATAATCATCATCAGTCGAATTTGAATTCGTAACCAGTAATGGTTTCCACAGTAATTTTTGGCAGAAAAAAAAACTTGCAGCCGTGATTTAGCCAAAGCCAAGTTTTTTTTAGTTGTAGGAAACTGTACACTTAAGAATGAAAATTATCATAGATCAATGGACTCGCAAGAATGACGTACACACTTACGAGTTAAATGAATCGCGTAGTGACGTCATAGTAGAGCGCGGATTATTTCATTTGTAAGTCTTTTCATCTGACGTCAATATAGTGCGAACCATTGAATGAAGTTTTAATAGAATTGGACAAAAGTAACAACAGTTCGTAACCTGGGCAATATTACTTCAGATTATGTATATGAAACCACCACTGTAATTTATACAAAAGTTTTTTATATTGTTGTGTTTTTGGGTACATTTATTTATGAGTACAGTTCTCTATTGCTTCTTACTACCTAACTAATAACTACCCAAGTAATTTCTTTTTAAAGTCAAACAAAAGTTTGTGTGTTTCAGATTTGGGTCAACAAAATAAATGAGTTATTTTTACAGATTTTGGTTTGAAAATGTGTTAATTTTCTATACTCAGTTTGTCTTACTCTAACACTTAATATGTTTTTTGAATGATTAGACTGAAGTGGATAATTAACGGTCTTAAAATATGATTGTATATCATAGCAATGATATCGTCTGACATTAAAATACGGCATACAGTAGTTAGTATGAATCTGTTTACCCAGTAATTCTTGGAATAACTCGTATTATAGGTATAGTGTTTAACTGAATCAGTGCCTTAAATATGGGAGCGGCACAGGGGGTGTTTTTGTGACAGTCAAACGTCAGCGAGACTTCAAATCTCTGTCAGATTTGTATGCTCTGTCACGTTGTGACGCGCCCCGCGACGCATCGACAGCCCTAGCACCCAGCGCGGAGATTTTGACAACCCTACGGCTGCGCGGCCGCACGCCGCACGGACCGAGCTAATATAAGAGACGGCGGCGACCGCGGGCGCCTAGCATTCGCTCGGGAGCCATTGTAACAGCCAGACGTTCGCGCGCGCGTCTATCATTTCCTCGGCTGCATTGCAAAGAGTCCCTAGCGAATAGCTATCCACATTGTTCCTTACTAACCCTAACTGTTCGACTCTGGCTTGATCCGATACCTCGTCATTAATCCGCGGCTTGCCATATAGCGTCGTGTCGAGACGTTCTATCGTTGATAGCCAACCGGTTCTCGTCCTTACCGAGTAGTGCATGAGATACTCATCCCGAACCTGCGGTAGCAATCCTGCTGCCACCCTTCCTGAACTTCACACCCCCTCACCTCGTAGGTCCAACGCCTTTCCCTAGTGGTCGTACTCACTATCGAGGCTTCGGTCTCTGGCTTGAGCTAACGAACCACATCCTACCCCCCTAGTTATAAGTATCCAGACTAACACTCGATAAACCTCGCATCGGGCGCCGCCCCTCTCGCGGATACGAAGGCTAGCTGACGGGACGCGAACCGGGCGCGTCGTTATTCCTCTTGTTGTAATTAGTAAATTGTGATATAACTTGTAAAGTACTTGTAAACTTGCTCATTATTAAACGATAGCGATTTAGAGTCAGTGAAACTAGGATAAGTGAACCATTGTGGAACCTGAATTATAAGTGCCATTGTGTTATTGATTGTGCGTTTCCTTGGTCGAATATCCCTGTAGGCATCCTGGATAGGTACACATCCCTCATCGCAGAAGGCGAACTGGGACTTAGTACTAAACAGCGGGGTGTCAGACTGAGCTAGCTTAGACGCCCCGTTGCAACGTCATAATACACTCGGCATCAAATAAATCGCACCTCCCGCGACAAGCACTTATCAAACGTATGCATCCCCACATCCCAACAACGAAAATGTGTCTTTATAAGGATCCAGAGTCACTTCTTCAAAACATAGGTAGTTACGCTATAGCCATTTTTTATGACTATAAAACTGTTAAGTTGGGATTAATCGCTATCCATCTGTTAAAGAGAACACGTGAGATCTTTATTTGGTTTTATAACCATAAAAATTGGTCTAATTGATCCCAGAGGTGAGCCCAAAGTGAGGTCTATTTTCAAGTCACATTTATGGTATATGTTAATTTTTATTTAGAAATGAAATGTATTTTTCTTTAAGGATATTTATTGGGCTTTCAAATAACACCAATATTGTTGGGGTACCATAATTGTGTCAGAAGAAAATCTTTAAAGTTCGCGTCGCGGAAGGTGCGGTTTATTTGATGTTGAGTGTATGTCAATGTCACCCCTCCCGTGCCGCTTCCATACCTCAGGCACTGACTGAGTTAAGCTATACTTATACAAAGTGTGTAAGAACTCGATGTTGCATATAAATGATTATTCATGTTTATTATTATTATCTGTTTAAAATTATGAGGCCGATGTCGAAAATTTCTAGTTTTTCATAAATTGACAATTTTAAACGCTTTATTATGTTTGTTATGCAAATAATTTCGTCTTAGTATGTAAGCAAAGCTTGCTTTGAAATATTTACTGAGTGTATAAATTATGTACGTACCTATTTGTTAGGACCGGTGTGATAGTTACATAGATCTTGTAATGGAACATAGCGCTCCCGTAAATATATGATTAAAATCCGTCGTAGGCAGTGTTAGTATGAAATGGTGTACATAATTATAAAGTAGATGATGCATCTTAGACCAGATATTGGGTGCGTGGAAAAAAGCGCTTGGAAGCGCTGAGAAACAAATTATACAGTTGTCGACGAGGACACGGTTGCCAACTTCTATAGTGACGTGTTTCATTTATTTTTGGCAGTAAGCGCTTATCGTTTATCGCCATTATGCTTACAAGCGATTTTTTTTCCGCCAAACGCACCCATTGTGTAATGTGTAAAAATAATAATAAATGTGTATCTTTGAGTAAACAACTTTTTGTCTTGCAAGGAAATAAAAGTATATAAATAGTTTCTGTTTACTAAATAACTGAATGATACTATACTAACTAATATACATGAACTAAAATTGCGTAATGTAATGAGAATGTGACATCCTGAAATGCATGTAAAACATACGGCTCACTGCAGGAAGAAAAATATTAGTTTGTTATACAATATTATTGTTGGCGTACGACCAATTAAAATTATATTTTGGCTAGTCTTCGCAGACTTTAAGTCATCATTGTAAATAATTTAGTTATTATTTTATTTGCCAAGGAGGCATACATTTTGTAAATAATAATGGTGAGATCTAAATTTCTTTTTTGTGATATTCAAATTAAAAAACCTGATTAATTTAAATTTCATAATACTATCGTAATAGATAGCGTAACAAAATTTATTTTTTAAATAACATAATCCATAATATTACTTATAAATAGGCCCGAGATCAAGGCATATTGATCATATTCTTATAATAATGTTCCTTTTAAAGAAAAAGGGACATTACGGGAATACTATGGGGATATTTCCGACTTGGGGAATGCTCACGAGAATGGTACATTTGTATAAAGCAAATAGAAGCGAGCATACACGACCTACGTAGGGGAGACTGAGGAAAGTTGTAACAGAGGTGGGTTGTAACTTGTAACAAAGTTGTTCTCTGAACCTAAGACTGATAAACTGTCTTAGCAACTTCTTGCTCTACGAATTCGTTGCTCTTTGGACACTCCATAGTTTGCGTTCAGCTAACTGTCATAGGGGCAGAGAAATCGGCTTTGTGACAACTCACCTCTGTTACAACCTTACAATTCTCCTCGGTCTCCCCTACCGACGTCACATCAAGCAACGTGCATGTTTTTGCAACAAACGTGTTTAGTCTGAAGTGTTGAATGTTCGTAGAATGTACGCATTACGAATTGCATTTCCAATTCTAATATTGTTTTTGTAAGATAAAAGGTTGACTGTGAGCAATGTTCGAATCGGTGTATAAATATTAAATACAATATTGTAATGTCCATTGTGTACCTAAGTGATGGATGGTATGCTATTTGATTTGTTGCATCTCGCTTTATTGGTTTACATATGTTTTGAAATAACGTTGTAACCGTGGAGTTAATCGATTCGGGATTTCTACCTCCTTTTTGATCGATTTCAGGTCAGTTTTTACCCAATTATTGACGATTATTAGATAAATCCCGACTTGGTTAGTTCTCATATTAGGGCTTTGACACACAGCTTTATGTATGGCATGGTAAGAGATTCACCTCACGCGTCATTGTGATGATTCAAAATCAAGCTGTTTTAACGGTTTTAAATCTGATTTAATAAAGTCCGCGTCCGCTGATTGAAAAAGCCTTTAGTGATGGAAGTTTGGAACATCCATTATCTTCATTTTGTA